GCGTGTGTGTGCGTGTGTGTGCGTGTGTGTGCGTGTGTGTGCGTGTGTGTGCGTGTGTGTGCGTGTGTGTGCGTGTGTGTGCGTGTGTGTGCGTGTGTGTGCGTGTGTGTGCGTGTGTGTGCGTGTGTGTGCGTGTGTGTGCGTGTGTGTGCGTGTGTGTGCGTGTGTGTGCGTGTGTGTGCGTGTGTGTGCGTGTGTGTGCGTGTGTGTGCGTGTGTGTGCGTGTGTGTGCGTGTGTGTGCGTGTGTGTGCGTGTGTGTGCGTGTGTGTGCGTGTGTGTGCGTGTGTGTGCGTGTGTGTGCGTGTGTGTGCGTGTGTGTGCGTGTGTGTGCGTGTGTGTGCGTGTGTGTGCGTGTGTGTGCGTGTGTGTGCGTGTGTGTGCGTGTGTGTGCGTGTGTGTGCGTGTGTGTGCGTGTGTGTGCGTGTGTGTGCGTGTGTGTGCGTGTGTGTGCGTGTGTGTGCGTGTGTGTGCGTGTGTGTGCGTGTGTGTGCGTGTGTGTGCGTGTGTGTGCGTGTGTGTGCGTGTGTGTGCGTGTGTGTGCGTGTGTGTGCGTGTGTGTGCGTGTGTGTGCGTGTGTGTGCGTGTGTGTGCGTGTGTGTGCGTGTGTGTGCGTGTGTGTGCGTGTGTGTGTGTGCGTGTGTGTGCATGCATGCATGTGTGTGTGCAGGTGACGGGCATCGTGCAGCAGGCCATGGCGCCATTCCTCTCCAAGGTAACTCCTCCACTCAACCTCACTTCTCTCCCTTTCTCAAGACTCGGCACTTGTCCACACTGCCATGGCTTGCTGCTCGTGCTACCCTGGCAGCTCACTCATCACCCAACTGACTCGTCACTTTCCCAATTCCCCCATGTGTGAGTATCTGCCCCATCTGCCCCCATTGCACCCTCTCAACCGCCTGGCTTGTGCCGCATATCAAAGCCCTCCACGCGCGCCTCACTCTTCTGCTTCCCCTCCTCACCTCCACTTCCATCTTCTCCCTTCCCACACACCCCTCCCCTCGTATTCTCTCCCCTTCCCCTGTCTGCAGCTGTCGGGGCGGGAGGTGGAGCGCATGCGGGGCCGGCTGGTGCGGGAAGTGGTGGGGAAGGAAGCGGTGAAGAGCCGGCAGCGCACCCACCAGGTGAGCCACATGAATTCCCAAGGGGCTCCATAGACAGCAGCGCTTGTGCTGCAACCCTGTTCGCTGCCCGAGGACCCGTGCTGCCCCCAGAGTAGCAGTGCGTCCCTTGCCCCCATTGTCATTCGAGCATACCTCCTCCCTGACCTGTGCTATACTGAAATCACTTTTGAGAATTCTCTAAAGTGATTTCAATATACCCTGATCTGTGCTTGCATAACCCTAAACCCTAAACCCCCCACCTCTCTGTGAAGCATGCTTGCATACCCCCCTGGTTCGTGTTGTGTCCCTCACAACGCGTGTTTTATACAATGTGTCTGCCTCATATTGTTTATGCCGCCTAATGCACCTCCTTTTTATTGCGCCTCCTTTGCGACTCGTGGTTGCTCGCCATGCGATGCTGTTGTGCTGTGTCATGCCAGGGAGCGATGCGGCCCATAGAGGAGCGCCCATTGAGAGAGAAGGTGTCTGCATTCGTGCGCCAGCACATCGCCGTTTACCTGCAGAATAGGCCATCGCTATGATGATAATTATGGCGATATAGGGCAACATGTATTGCTAGTTGTATAGATTGCAATGTATAGAATATCAGCTAACACTAGATAAGCTACTGTACTATATTTTTGTATGGCTTAGCTATAGTTCGGAGATATACCTGATATACTATGTGCTTCAAGGTAAAATGGTATTGAGACCTCACATCTTATGCCTTTTCAGAACATTCAACCGTTGTATATCCCGAGTCAAATGTTATTGATCGCGAAGCACCTCCCCGAATTCTATGAAAGTGAACGCCACCAGCAGATCTGCGAACAGATCGAACACCAGACCTACCGTGTCATTTCGTGAATTCAGAAGCTAGTTTCACCACAACGATTGCCGGGTCCCACGCGTACCTCGCCGATCGTCGCGTCTTCCGCCATCCGCACGGCTTGACGCCTGCCTCCTCGCCTCCCCGCCGCAGATCGTCGCACCCGTTTACCTGCCCGGCAGCCGTCCGCTTATCAGCTTCTTTATCCGTCCACCTTATCTGTTCGCACGCGCGCTGCGGTCCGCGTGCCCGCGGGAAGAGCGGCGGGCGGCATGTCGGCGATGTCGGACAACGTGGGGCAGTACGGCCGCATCGGCACCGTGCCGGTAATGCCGCGACCCCACACCTTGCTCCGCCGCCGCTCGTACTGCCGCTTGCGTCGCCACGCCCTTACCCACCACTGCACCCGCTGCGCGCCGTCGACCGGCCCCTCCCAATGAACCAACGCCAGCGTCCGTTCCCTGCTCGCTGCTCTCTTCTCTCTGCGCTCTCCTCTTTCCTCTGTGCGTCACTCACCCTCATCGCATCTTCCCCTCACCCCATCGCCCATCTCCGTGCACTGCCACGCCCCGTCGCTCAATCGCCCAAACCAAATCCCTCTCAGGTGGCCCAGGGAGCCGAAGTCCCTCTAACGCACCCAGGTATGTCCTTATAACGAGTATGTCTTGTCAGCGCGCCCATATTCCTGTGTCCAGCATCGCACGTGACCGCAGCGAGCTCCTTGTCCGCCTTACGCACCTCCCTCCCTTTTGCCTCTTCCAGCCCCTCTGTTTCCTATCCCTGCTCCACATCCCTCCGCTCCTCCCCCCCCTGCTCCTTACCATTGTGTGCCTCTCCCCGCGTCCGCCCAACCCCATCGCCCTGCCTGCTGCGTGGCAGAGTTTCCCTACACGCCCGAGCCCGCAGCGAGCAGGGGATCAGGTGAGTGCGGGCAGCATGTCAGAGCGTGAGCGGCTTGGGCGCACAGCAATACCTTCTCTGCCTCGTGCCATTCCCCTGCCTCTTCACCCCCTCCCCCATCACCCCGCTTCCACTGCACCCTCCTCGGCCCCAACCCTCATCCCCATCCCCTCCCTCTCCCCCTCCGCTCTTCCCACCCCTCTCCCCTCCACCGAACCCCCCCCCCTCCCATGTGCCCCCCAGACACCTTCTCGTCTACCGCAGGTGGGGGCGGTGCGTCCCTGCCGCCGCCCCCAGTGGGCATCTGGGGCGTGTTCAGTGTGGCGTTCTACCGCCCCTTCTTTGACGTGGACACCGCTGACGTGGCGGAGCGAGTGCGGGACGCGCTCATGCCCTTCCCGCGCTCCTCCTTCCTCGAAAAGACGGCTCTCAACCCCGACATGTGAGGAGAGGGGTGTGAAGCCGGGCATGTGAGGGGAGGGGTGGCAATCCGGGCATGTGAGGATAGGGGTGTGAGGGCGGACATGTAATAACACCACTCACATCTACGCACCCACTACCCTCCCACCCGTACTCACCCCTCACCAAAACTCCCCCTCCCACCCCACCCCCCCCTCCCCTCCCCTCCCTCCCCTCCACACCCATACAACAGCTATGGGCCGTTCTGGATCTGCACGACGCTCGTGTTCCTGTCCGCTTCGCTGGGCAACCTGGCCAGCTACCTGAGCTACGCTGCCTCGCCGTCATCAGCCGCGGAGGAGCACTGGCACTACAACATCGACGCCGTCAGCTGGGCTGCTGCCATCTTCTACGGCTATGTGGCCGTCGTGCCGCTGCTGCTCTTCTTCCTCCTGCGCTACCTGCAGGTACTACCCGCACTGCTGCTCTGTGCTACCTGCAGGTACTACCCGCACTGCTGCTCTGTGCTACCTGCAGCTACTGTCCGCACTGCCGCTCTGTGCTACCTGCAGCATGTATCGGCTCTGCTGCTCCGTGCTATCCCCAACACCTGGAGTCGTTCCCTCTGACTTGGATGGAGTGCTGAAAGGAATCCCAGCCACTGCATGCAGAGTGCTTGTCTCCGCTGAACGCTGCTCACTGGGTTAGCAACAGCGTTTGATCATTGCCCCTTTCTGCCTTCCCGTGCATGGCATGTGCATGGCATGCGTGTGGAGTGCGTTTGGCGTGCGTGCGGTGTGTGCACGGTATGTGCATGGTGTGGCGTGTGCCTGGCGTGCACCTGTCGTGTGTGTGTGCAGGTTTCCGCGGGGTTGGTTCAGCTGTGGTGTCTGTATGGCTACTCTCTGGCCGTCTACATCCCCATCTCGGTACGTGCAAGGGGCGAGGGGCATGGTGCAAGGGACATGGGGCATGGGGCATGGGGCATGGTGCAAGGGGCATGGGGCATGGGGCATGGGGCAAGGGGCAAGGGGCATGGGGCATGGGGCATGGTGCGTGGTGCGTGGTGCATGGTGCGTGGTGCATGGTGCGTGGTGCGTGGAGCATGGTGCATGGTGCATGGAGCAAGGTGCATGGAGCAAGGTGCTGGCCTCCCCAGCGCCCGCTGCTATTTCCCTCTGCCATGCGCCAAGGGCATCAGGCAGCACCGTGAATGCCAGCGCATCTATGCACCCTCACACACATGTGCATTGGCACATGAAACATCATCCGTCATGCATCTGCCTTGCACGTACTTCCTCTTTGTACCTCTCACCCCCCCTTCCCCTTCTCCCCTCCCCCACCCCCTTCTCCCCCCCTTCCCGTCCCCCGGCAGTTCATAACGGTGCTGCCGCTGGACCTGCTGCGCTGGCTCATAGTGCTGGGCGCCACGGCCATCTCGTGCTTCTTCCTCGGTGTCAACCTGCGCGCGCAAATCACAGTGGGCCACGAGATGTGGTTCCCCATCGTCGTCGGCGCTGTGCTGCTGCAGGCCGGCCTGGGGGTTCTCCTCAAGCTCTACTTCTTCACCTACATTCAGCTCTAGGCCCCGCTCTTGAGGTGCCTCAAAAGACTCAGCTCTAGGCCCTGCTTTTGAGGTGCCTAAAAATACTTTCAGCTCTAGGAAAGGTCATGCTGGAAAGCTGTAACGAGCGTGTTTTGTTACACAGGTACCCAGAATGCACTCATGGCAAAGCTGATAGATGGCACTCACACATGCCTATGCCTTGCCAGGCCTGTCTCCCAGAATGTGAACAGCGGAACAAGGTTGGATTAGCAAGCATGAGAAACAATACAAACCCTAAAGAATTGTACTCACTAAAATCTACTTCACTGTAGCCAATCACAGATATGAACATAGTTTGACACACCCCCACAAACGAAAGGAGGGGCAGAAGACCACATCGCTGCGCTTGTCTGGGCCTATTGCTAAACCAGCAAGGGCGTGGGAGGGTTGCGAGCATCATCGGTCATCGGCACTCGCGAATGAAGAACGTCCGCTGCACTTTCTGCACATGTGCGGATCCTTCCGCGTTTTGGGGCTGGAAGCGCTAGTTCCGAGCGTTTTTCTTCCGCCGGGTCACGTGGATGCGCTTGTCTGGGCCTATTGCCAAGCCAGCATGGGCGTGGGAGGGTTGCGAGCATCATCGGTCATCGGCGAAGAGCGCCCACTGCACTTCCTGCACATGTGCTGATCCTTCGGCATTTTGGGGCTGGAAGCGCTCGTTACGAGCGTTTTTCTTCCACCGGGTCACGTAGCTCCGCTCATCGGTGATCGGCGCTAGCGAATGAAGAGCGCCCGCTGCACTTCCAGCACATGTGCGGGTCCTTCCGCGTTTTAGGGGGAAGCACTCGTTCCGAACGTTTTTCTTCCGCCGGGTCACATGGTTGCGCTTGTGTGGTCCTATTACCAAGGCTGCAAGGGCGTGGGAGGGTTGCAAGCATCATCGGTCATCGGGGCTAGCGAATGAAGAGCGCCCGCTGCACTTCCTGCACATGTGCGGGTCCTTCCGCGTTTTAGGGAGAAGCACTCGTTCCGAGCGTTTTTCTTCCGCCGGGTCACGTGGCTGCGCTTGTTTGGTCCTATTACCAAGTCAGCAAGGGCGTGGGAGGGTTGCACGCATCATCGGTCATCGGCGCTAGCGAATGAAGAGCGCCCGCTGCACTTCCTGCACATGTGCGGCTCCTTCCACGTTTTGGGGGTGGAAGCGCTCGTTCCGAGCGTATTTCTTTCGCCGCGTCACGTGGCTGCGCTTGTGTGGTCCCATTACCAAGCCAGCAAGGGCGTGGTAGGGTTGCAAGCATCATCGGTCATTGGCGCTCGCGAATGAAGAGCGCCCGATGCACTTCCTGCACATGTGCGGGTCCTTCCGCGTTATGGGGGTGAAAGTGCTCGTTCCGAGTGTTTTTCTTCCGCCGGGTCACGTGGCTGCGCTTTTCTGGTCCTATTACCAAGCCAGCAAGGGCGTAGGAGGCTTGCAAGCATCATCAGTCATTGGCGCTCGCGAATGAAGAGCGCCCGATGTACTTTGTGCACATGTGCAGGTCCTTCCGCGTTTTTGGGGGAAGCACTCGTTCCGAGCATTTTTCTTCCGCCGGGTCACGTGGCTCCGCTTGTCTGGTCCTATTACCAAGCCAGCAAGGGCGTGGGAGGGTTGCAAGCATCATCGGTCATCGGCGCTAGCGAATGAAGAGCGCCCGCTGCACTTCCTGCACATGTGCGGCTCCTTCCGCGTTTTGGGGGTGGAAGTGCTCGTTCTGAGCGTTTTTTTTCCGCCGGGTCACGTGGCTGCGCTTGTCTGGTCCTATTACCAAGCCAGCAAGGGTGTGGTAGGGTTGCAAGCATCATCGGTCATTGGCGCTCGCGAATGAAGAGCGCCCGATGCACTTCCTGCACATGTGCGGGTCCTTCCGCGTTATGGGGGTGAAAGTGCTCGTTCCGAGTGTTTTTCTTCCGCAGGGTCACGTGGCTGCGCATGTCTGGTCCTATTACCAAGCCAGCAAGGGCGTGGGAGGGTCACACGTATCATCGGTCATCGGCGCTTGCGAATGAAGAGCGCCTGCTGCACTTCCTGCACATGTGCGGCTCCTTCCCCAGTTTGGGGGTGGAAGCGCTCGTTCCGAGCGTTTTTCTTCCGCCGCGTCACGTGGCTGCACTTGTCTGATCCTATTACCAAGCCAGCAAGGGCGTGGGAGGGTTGCAAGCATCATCGGTCATTGGCGCTCGTGAATGAAGAGCGCCCGCTGCACTTCCTGCACGTGTGCGGGTCCTTCCGTGTTTTAGGGGGAAGCACTCGTTCCGAGCGTTTTTCTTCTGCCGGGTCACATGGCTACACTTGTCTCGTCCTATTACCAAGCCAGCAAGGGCGTGGGAGGGTTGCAAGCATCATCGGTCATCGGCGCTAGCGAATGAAGAGCGCCCGCTGGACTTCCTGCACATGTGCGGCTCCTTCCGCGTTTTGGGGGTGGAAGCGCTCGTTCTGAGCGTTTTTCTTCCGCCGGGTCACGTGGCTGCGCTTGTCTGGTCCTAGCAAGTCAGCAAGGGCGAGCGAGGGTTGCAAGCATCATCGGTCATTGGCGCTCGCGAATGAAGAGCGCCCGCTATACCTCCTGCACATGTGCGGGTCCTTCCGCGTTTTAGGGGGAAGCACTCGTTCTGAGCGTTTTTCTTCCGCCGGGTCACGTGGTTGCGCTTGTCTGGTCCTAGAAAGTCAGCAAGGGCGAGCGAGGGTTGCAAGCATCATCGGTCATTGGCGCTCGCGAATGAAGAGCGCCCGCTATACCTCCTGCACATGTGCGGGTCCTTCCGCGTTTTAGGGGGAAGCACTCGTTCTGAGCGTTTTTCTTCCGCCGGGTCACGTGGCTGCGCTTTTCTGGTCCTATTACCAAGCCAGCAAGGGCGTAGGAGGCTTGCAAGCATCATCAGTCATTGGCGCTCGCGAATGAAGAGCGCCCGACGTACTTTGTGCACATGTGCAGGTCCTTCCGCGTGTTTGGGGGAAGCACTCGTTCCGAGCATTTTTCTTCCGCCGGGTCACGTGGCTGCGCTTGTCTGGTCCTATTACCAAGCCAGCAAGGGCGTGGGAGGGTTGCAAGCATCATCGGACGACCTGAATATTGTTGCATATTCAGATGGCCCATGCTCAAATACACTGACCAGAGCATTTCCGGCTCGGTTCGTGCGCACAGAAAAGTTCGGCGCCTGCGATGACGGCCGCACCTGCCGACAAACGCTAAGGAAGCGCATGGATCCCCACAAGCGTGGGGAAAAGCGTCGAACGACCTGAATGTTGTTGCATATTCGGGTGGCCCATGCTCAATTCACCTACCTGAGCAATTCCGGCTTGGTTCGCACGCACCAAAAAGTTCGGCGTCTACGATGACGGCCGCGCCTGCCGACAAACGCTAAGGAAGCGCATGGATCCGTACAGGCACAGATAAACGCGTCAAACGAACTGCATGTTGTTGCATATTTCGGTGGCCCATGCTCAAATACACCCACTTGAGCAATTCCGGCTTGGTTCGCGCGCACAGAAAAGTTCGGCGCCTGCGATGACGGCCGCGCCTGCCGACAAACGCTAAGGAAGCGCATGGATCCCTGCAGGCGTAGGGAAAAGCGTCGAACGACCTGAATGATGTTGCATATTCGGGTGGCCCATGCTCAAATTCACCCACCTGAGCGATTCCGACTTGCTTCGCGCGCACAGAAAAGTTCGGCGCCTGTGATGACGGCCGCGCGTGTCAACAAACACTAAGGAAGCGCATGGATCCCTACAGGCGTAGGGAAAAACGTCAAACGACCTGATAATTGTTGCATATTTGAGTGGCCCATGCTAAAATACACCCACCAGAGCATTTTTGGCTTGGTTCGCGCGCACAGAAAAGTTCGGTGCCTGCGATGATGGCCGCGCCTGCCGACAATCGCTAAGGAAGCGCATGGATCCCCACAGGCATGGGGAAAAGCGTCTAACGACCTGAATGTTGTTGCATATTCAGGTGGCCCATGCTCAAATATGCCTACCTGAGCAATTCCGGCTTGGTTCGCACGCACAAAAAAAGTTCGGCGCCTGCGATGGCGGCCGCGCCTGCCGACAAACGCTAAGGAAGCGCATGGATCCTTACAGGCGTAGATAAACACGTCAAACGAACTGCATGTTGTTGCATATTCGGGTGGCCCATGCTCAAATACACCCACTTGAGCAATTCCGGCTTGGTTCGCGCGCACAGAAAAGTTCGGCGCCTGCGATGACGGCCGCGCCTGCCAACAAATACTAAGGAAGCGCATGGATCCCTACAGGCGTAGGGAAAAGCGTTGAACGACCTGAATGTTGTTGCATATTCGGGTGGCTCATGCTCAAATACACCCACCAGAGCAATTCCGGCTTGGTTCGCGCTCACAGAAAAGTTCGGCGCCTGCAATGACGGCCGCGCCTGCCGACAAACGCTAAGGAAGCACATGGATCCCTATGGGCGTGGGGAAACGCGTCGAACGATCTGAGTGTTGTTGCATATTCGGGGGGCCTATGCTCAAACCCACCAGAGCAATTCCGGCTTGGTTCGCGCGCAGGGAAAAGTTCGGCGCCTGCGATGACGGCGCGCCTGCCGACAAATGCTAAGGAAGCGCACGGACCCCTACAGGCGTATACGTTTGCACTTGGTCCGAGGACCAGGCCCATACGTTTGCACTTGGTCCGTGGAGTTTAGGGTTTAGGGTTTAGGGTTTAGGGTTTAGGGTTTTGGGGTTTAGGGTTTAGGGTTTTGGGGTTTAGGGTTTAGGGTTTTGGGGTTTAGGGTTTAGGGTTTAGGGTTTAGGGTTTAGGGTTTAGGGTTTAGGGTTTAGGGTTTAGGGTTTAGGGTTTAGGGTTTAGGGTTTAGGGTTTAGGGTTTAGGGTTTAGGGTTTAGGGTTAGGGTTTAGGGTTTAGGGTTTAGGGTTTAGGGTTTAGGGTTTAGGGTTTAGGGTTTAGGGTTTAGGGTTTAGGGTTTAGGGTTTAGGTTTAGGGTTTAGGGTTTAGGGTTTAGGGTTTAGGGTTTAGGGTTTAGGGTTT